TTTATGCTCCCTCGACAAAAAATATGGACAAACTATAGAAGAAAATAGCCACCTAAGAGCATCTCCAATAGTTCCTAAGTTGGCAAATCAATGTGTTTTCTAAGTGACTAAAAAAAATTAGAAGCATATTTGTTGTCTTGCTCTAACGGTTTTCAAAATCCCTACTTCTCAAATATAGAAGATATTTTTTGCATCTGCACTCCGCTTTTTTTCAAAGCACATCGACATCTTAAAAAAAATCTGGGAGCATATTTGTTGGATTACTCTATCTGTTTTCAAAATCTATGCTCCTAAAATATAGAAAACGATTTTGCATCATGAATCCAAGACAACTTTCAAATCACATCAACCACTTTTATACTTCCTTTCTCTCTTATATATTTGCATTGCTTTCTCCTTATTCAGTATTGCTCTCCGCACCGTTCCACCTCCAGATTGGCTAACTGATACGCGCTTATATCTCTGTCAAGTTGGGTCGATTTTTTCAAGTGCGGAAATATTGAAAGTTGAGATAGGGAGTTGTTGGAAAGCGTTTTTTTACAATCGTGCTAGAAAAATCAAAGATTGGGAGTATGGTTTGGAAACTCTTGGAAATATTTTTTAAATTGTTTTTAACGAATATTTGTGCAAAAATAATGAGTCAAAGCTCGCAGAACGGTCACATCGGAAGTCAGGGAACGTGGGGAACGGCATACCGTTGTCAGTGTCCACATTGGAGCACTACAGTAAATGGAAAAGGACGAACGGTGATCGCGACGAGCCATGAGCCATCACATCTGTCGGGGAAAGAAAGCGCAGCAGGCTCGCTGGGCGCAGCGGTGCGTTGCGTGTTTCGCCTGCCGCTGGCGGGAACGAACGATTCGGGAGGACCCTGAAAAGCTCGCCACTGATCGTCTGCTGCTGCCTGCGGCCCTGCACTTTCGGTTTAATTCCTAGTATCTTGTTCACTTCTACAGTAACGTCTTAACGAGAAACTCTGGAACAGGGTGATCGTATACTCCTATGTATAAACAGATACGGAGTAACCACGAACCAGCATCGCAGACATGAATGCACTAGTACTGTACGTACTCCTACGCGACGACACATGATGCAAATAAAACGGCAGGCATGCAGGAACAGCGAGGAAAAGCCTGCGACGCGTGTGAGCGCACAGCGTACGGTGCAAGTCGCGCTGTGCTCTCTCATCTCATGGCACGACGTCGTAGTACTTGCACGCGTACTCAGGGTAAGCTTCTCGCTGTCTTCATTTACCACTTGCTTCGCGCTCAAGCAGTCTCGGCAGCGGCAGCGGCAGCAAGAAGCTTTGCTTTGAACGAACAACAACGAAGGGGAAAAAATGAACAACAGGCACACTCATCCTACCCCTACAGTGGCTGTGCCTGTGCTCCGCTAGCAAATGCCTTTGTTTATGAGTTTCCGTAAGGCTGGCCGCCTGTCCGTCACAGTCACAGTCACAGTCACAGACAGCAGCAACAAAAGGCAGAAGAGGGCACAGCAGACATGCGGCCATGCCTGCAGGCTTCAGAGCAGAGATCAGGGATGGGTCCTGTGATCCTGTCCCCCCACTGACCGCGTTACGCATCCCAGACTGCAAGGCTTCAGAGTACTAGTACGACCCTTCTGTTTAGCGTCTTGTGATTTCCCCGCAAACAGGTCTCATTACGCTTTGTGAGTGGGAGTAGTACAGTACTCCTTCCGTGTTTTGCTGCTAACTGATGCCTACAGTAGGCGTTCGCTGCAAACAGGCGGGTGCCTGCAGGCTGAAGCACCACCCCACCTGAAGGTGGACACTGTAGCAGAGGAGAGTCGGAGTACTGGCTGGTGAGGAACAGTATGTACACTACAAATTTCTGGAATCTACTACGTATATGTACAGATGCAGGTCAGGTACACGCAGGAGTTTATAAAACGGTGGACGTGGGGTGGGTGGCTGCAGGCTGCTTGTCTGCGTGGGGTGTCAGAGTCTGCCTGTCTCGGTGTCTGCACTCCGACTTCCCTCTCCCTCGCTTCACTGGTCACTGCCACGCCCACCTGCAGCCTGCAGAGTTGCAGTCAATAAATAATGCGAACAACTGTGGCAGTAATAATATTTCAAGTAGGGCCGCCGCGCGCTCTCCAGCACTGCACCTGGTGGCATTGGCATTGCCATTGGTATGGTACCGCATAGTGGCAGCGTCCGTCCAGCCGTCCGCGGTCCACCCGCGCAGGCACAGTTGCCCCGGTAAACTATTCTTGGTTGGGTTCTTGCCGCTCTTGGCAGTGGAAAAAACCTAGGGCTTGGATTCGAGGAATTTCAAATGAATTCAGTTTCGAAGTTTTGTTTACATGACATGGTGTTTGGAATGGAGAAATAGAGTTTTCCTTTCCTATGGAAAGGCTTGCTTCGCTTCGTGGATAAAACATTCATGAAGCTCTTGGAAAATTTTCCTACACGTGAACGAGAGATAAGCAAGCCCTTGTTCATCAGAATAGATGAATAAACATGTTCTTGTATTCCTCTGTTTCATAATAAAATTGCTAAGTTCTTTAATTCTCTGTTTCCTACCTACACTCATTTCCTATTTCCATTTTTGCTTAGTTTTCTCTGCGTTCCAAACATGTCCCGTTTTACATTCCTACCATTCCAGACAAACCGCAAACGGGGCTGGGGAGACCTGCTCGCTACACTTACCGTTTTCACACGGCTAGCAGAGAACTATTAGTCTTTCAACGCTCATGCTCCTATTGTGTGTAGAGTAACAGCAATAGACAACATATTTCCTACATTAGCGTAACGGGAGACGCAATGTTTCTGATACTATTCATGTATCGGACACCTAAAGAAATATCTAAAGATGTTCGATTAAGCTGGTGCGACTGCACATATTGGCCTCGTTCGGCTGGTGCTAAAAAAGCACTGTGCACGGCTGATTTTCTCTCACAAATTCCTCCAAGGAAACGGACCCATTGTTACTTAGGAGTACAGTAAGTGTGCAGCTTTAGCAACAGCCACAACCACCGCCATCGCTTTATGTAGCGACACCACCACTGTAACTGTCATGCTAAGTTACTAATCTGTAAGGTGTTTTTTGAAAGTGTAACAGGATTTTTCAAAACTATTGTATGGGAGTAGGGCTCTACGACTTTGGGTGCTATTTGGTTGCTAGCCGCACTTTATCTTAGGCAAGTTTGACTAAATTGACAATTGTTTGCTTGGTGGCTAACCTTAGGCAAGATTCTTTTGGACTTTAGGGAGTGTTTGGTTGGCGATCGCACACCGCCACGCCACAGATGTGGCGAGGCACATGACATTGCTGCTGCTATTTGGTTCGTGATGCTACCAAGGCACCCATAAAAAGTTCAGTGAAGAAAACTAGAACCATATTGTGGCAGTGAGAAAACGACGCCGCAACTGCGGCACGCCACAATCTGCTTATCTTTAGGCGTGGCCAGCAGTGATCTACATCCAAACACGCTTTTACAGTTCATAGAGTAAAAAAGTGTGATAAGAATCCCTTAGTCATGGAAAGTGTGGCTTTCCTAATTTTGTAGCCACACTTTTTTGTGACCTGTCACACTTACCTAAGGCTAGTCGTCGTAGAACATGGTTGAGAACCGAACGGCCCCAAAGTAGGATAGCGAGTTCATTTTACGGGTGTGTTTGGCGAGTGTTCGGCTGGCATTAAATTTTTAATGTAGCTGCTAGAAAACACCGTTCATACTGGAATTTGGTGAGAGAAAAATTATCTGGCTGGAAAAAAAAAAGCCAGCCAGCCAGCCGAAGCTGACCAGCCGAACACGCCTGCCACCGTCACGGAAAAAGCGCGTAGAAAAAAGTGCGGCGGCGGTGTGAACCAAACACTGTCTATGTGCTGTGGCTGCCATCATTGTGGCGTGGCGAAGGACGGCCGGCAACCAAACAGCCTGACCGGAGACGAGGGCGCCCAACGCTTCACCCGCGGACGCGGCAGACGTACGCCGTCTCCGTAGCCGCCGCTGGCCGCTGGTTCGTTGGACGCTCTCTGCCCGCCCATGCTTCTTCGCCTCGCTCGCAGTAAGTTGGCAAAAAGGTCGGGGGAAACGGGCGGATCTGATTGAAAACGGCCGTGGTCCCGTGGACGGGCACGGGCGCGGCGCGGTTGAGCGGGGTCGGGTCGGCAGTCGTCACTCGGCAGCAGCCCCGGACGCCGGACTTTCGCCGTCTGAGCGGGCTGCAGCCTGCAGGCGTGCGGCCGCTGCGCACACAGCAGATTCTGCAGCGCGGACTCTGCGTCTTGAGAATGGCCTGCGGGCCTCTGCCTCCGCATCTCGCCTCGCCTTCCCGGTCGCGCTGCTGTCCAAGACACTGACCGGTCGCGCTGCCGCGCCTGCCCTCCTCGCTTCGCTCACACACGTACCACCCGCATACTGCACGGCACGTCCCGTCTGCCTCCTGCCAGGCTCCGATGATGACACCGAGTGGTACGGAACACAAACTATAGTACAGTACGTGACGGGTTAGCGTAAGCAGCCAGATTCGCGTCACGGAGCTCGCTTTGTTGACGAGAGGGGCTGGTCTGTCGTTCTCCCTCAAGAAGCCAACAACGGCCGTTGGATCGGAGCACCGGTGGCCCGTGGCCGTCGATTGAATGGCCCAAATCTCTTGCGGCCCAACAACCCACACGCGCCGCAGCGCCGGTGCCCCGCCAAGGCCAGCTTGCGCGATCCCAGCCTGCCACTACAAATAAAACCCCTTCCCCACGGACCTCACGTCCTCACCGAAGTGCTCAGTGCTCCTCTCGCTACTGCTGCCCCCGTCTCCTCTCCACCCTACTGCCTCCTCTCGGCAACACCTCGCTGACGCCACCGCCGCGAGCACAACCAGGCCGCAGCGCCGTACTCCGTTCGCCTCCTCTCGCGGTGGTCTGCCGGTGCACGGTGTCTGGCTAGAGTCTCGAAGGTCGTTCGCAGCCGCAGGGGTAGCCAGCAAGCTAACTAGCTCGTCGGGAGCGAGAGAAAGCGGCCGGCCGTGCGCGGAGATGATGATGATGAGCGGTCGAGCGGGCGGCGGGGCCACCACCGCGGGGCGGTACCCGTTCACGGCGTCGCAGTGGCAGGAGCTGGAGCACCAGGCGCTCATCTACAAGTGCCTGGCGTCCGGCAAGCCCATCCCGTCCTACCTCATGCCGCCGCTCCGCCGCATCCTCGACTCCGCCCTCGCCACGTCGCCGTCCCTCGCCTTCCCGCCGCAACCCTCGCGTACGCATCCGCCTTGTTTTTTCCCCCCTTGTATATGTATGCTTTCACGTCCGCGTTGCCAGTTTCTGTTGGCACGACAAGCTGAGCATGAGATGGCGGTTGTTTTTGCATGCAGTGGGGTGGGGCTGCTTCGGGATGGGCTTCAGCAGGAAGCCCGACGAGGACCCGGAGCCCGGGCGGTGCCGGCGGACGGACGGCAAGAAGTGGCGCTGCTCCAAGGAGGCGTACCCGGACTCCAAGTACTGCGAGAAGCACATGCACCGGGGCAAGAACCGTTCAAGAAAGCCTGTGGAAATGTCCTTGGCCACGCCGGCGCCGGCCTCCGCCGCCTCATCCGCCACAAGCGCCACCGCCACCGCCGCCGCCGCCACCACCACCTCGTCCCCGGCGCCGTCATACCACCGCCCGCCCCCCGCCGCGCACGATTCGTCGCCGTACCACGCGCTGTACGGCGGCGGCGGCAGCCCTTACTCGGCCTCGTCGGCGCGCCCAGCCGGTGGCGCCGCCGCGTACCATCATCACGCGCAGGTGAGCCCCTTCCACCTCCACCTCGAGACCACCCACCCGCACCCGCAGCCGTCCTACTACTCCGTGGACCAGAGGGACTACGCCTACGGGCACGCCGCCAAGGAGGTCGTCGGCGAGCACGCCTTCTTCTCAGACGGCGCGGCCGACAGGGACCGCCAGCATGCCGCGGGCCAGTGGCAGTTCAAGCAGCTCGGGATGGACACGAAGCCGAGCCCCACGTCGCTTTTCCCCGTCGCAGGGTACGGCAACAGCGGCGCTGCGTCGCCGTACGGCGTTGATCTGGGGGCCAAGGAAGACGACGAGGAGGAAAGGCGGCGCCAGCAGCAGCAGCACTGCTTCATTCTCGGTGCCGACCTGCGGCTGGAGCGGCCGTCGGGCCATGACACCGCCCCCGCGCAGAAGCCGCTCCGGCCCTTCTTTGACGAGTGGCCGCACGAGAAGGGAAACAAGGCGGGGTCGTGGATGGGCCTCGACGGCGAGACGCAGCTCTCCATGACCATCCCCATGGCCGCTAACGACCTCCCCGTCACCTCCCGCTACCGTAATGGTGCGCACTGTACGTCTTGTTCGCTAACCTGTTACCGTAATGAGCCTGTTAACTCAAGGTCGATCTCATCATCGTTTTTCGTTATTTGTGATGTTACAACCTGCAGATGAGTGATGCCAGGAAGAAATGTTTTCCTGTTGCTACGACCTCGAGGTGAGGCCACATCAAGCCTGGAGCTGGAACACAACGAGTGGTTCCAGCCTGTGGTGCTGACCCTGAGCTGTACTCACCGTCTTGCTCAAGGCCGGCACGGTTTGAAGAACCGGGGAAGACCTAAACCTCGTCGTTAAGAATGATTTTTCCTGTTTCTCCGTTCTTCTTTCTCCTAGTATTACGCAGTGGTGCTTCGAGTGTTATGTTTCCCTATAATATCAAGTGAACTGGGGACCGTTTCTTACTGTATTTCTCAAGCAGCATTTGGCCTCTGTTCCTGTCAGTGCCTGTAATATCTTGTGAGCGTGCTGAGCTGCTCAGTTCTGGATTTCTCTTTTCCGCTGTCGGATTCCTCCGCCTGTGATAGTTTGTCACATTTGTGGATTCCGCTCAAAGCTCCAGTTGCCCGTCTGCTCCATGGCTTAGTACTTTATAACTTTCTGCTCAGAGCCTGCAACTTATACAGAACAGTAATCACCATGCTTCATCCAACAATATACTATTGGTTAGGACAGCGGTAATGACGGCATGGCTTCTATGCATATCTTTGACTGCTAGTAGTAGGAGCTACTAGGTGCCTTTCTTTAGTCTCCACTGTTCATACTTTGACTGCAACCTTGGAACCGCAGTTTTTCCAAGTTCCTCAGGTGCTCAGACAGTCATCAGGCTCCTCTTGACTTCCCTTCATCCGTTCCCATTTAACCCAACGGAACTGGGCAGAGAAATGCGGGGTTGCAGTCCGGCATGCCGTGCAGAGACCTGCTGAGCTCTGACCCGTGGTAAGTCTTGACGAAGGCCTTGTTTAGATCACTCCAAAATTCCAAGTTTTTTCACCTGCTCAAGCTTTGCTGACCACAGTTTAGTTGGAAATCACGAGATGAATCTTTTGAACTTAGTTGGTCTACGATTGGACAATATTTATCAAATAAGACGAAAGTGCTACTATTCATCGGGTTGAAATTTTCTTCAATCTAAACAAGGCCGAAATCGATAAGTGCCATGGCTGCTCCATCGTCCATCGACCGGCCTCCTGGTTCATCGACTGGCAAGGTGTCAGGTGTGGCGTAGTAGTAGGAGTACTGTAGTACTCGAGTTGAATGGTCTATATAGCCTCAGGCCTGCGCTGCGCCACCAGGCGTTGCTGCATCTGCATGCATGCATGCACACAGGGCGCGTTTAGTTCCCAAAATTTTTTGGGTTCCTGCGCTTAATGCGCCATGGACTAATTATGTTTGAAAGTTTCGTCTCACGATTTTTCACCCAACTATGCAATTAGTTTTTTTTATCTACATTTAGTACTCCATGTATCTAATACATATACTGTAAGATTCGATACGACACTTTAGGGTGAAAAATTTTAGGAACTTACAGCTGTGCCCGCAGGCCGCAGCAGCCGTTGTCCGGTGAGCTCGTACTGTAGATGTAGCCTGCTGTGGCCTCTACGGCAGCCTTCAAAGCCTGCACTTGCTGTCTGCCCGGCACGGTGCCAGCCAGCTGCCTGCCTCCGCGTAGCCCGCCCCCCTGCTGCTCTAGCGACAGTTCTACTGTAGTAGAGTACTAATCCGTACTACTACTCGTACTACTAGTATGTTGCCTGACGTCCTAAACCTGCCTTTGTCTCCTCTTACTCCATGCTTACTTGGGTACATAAGCTTGGGTTATGAAAGATGTATCACCCCTGCTTGTACTCCTAAATTGATGAAAGACTGTTCCAGCTCAGCATTCCATAATGGATGAAGATATGCCGCGACCGGAGTGCTCGACCCTTCTTCCTCGTCACGTCTCTCCCTCCCGTGCCCCTCTGCTGCCGCCACCTCCTCGCACCCCCCACCATCGGACCTAGACCTCGTTCCCACACTCGTCCTCGACCCCACCCTCGCCCCCGCCGCCGATCCTGCCCCTCCTCGCCCCCGCCGCCGACCACCGCACCACTGCGGGCGCTAGGGTTCGTCAGAGACCCTAGCGCGGCGGAGCTCCGGCGAACCCTAGCGCCTGCGGTGGCCGCCTTCTTCGCTCCCCCTCTCGCGCGGAGCTCCACCATGCTCACCGGCGACGTCGAGACGCCGCCGCCCTTCCCGGTTCGGCCGCCTCCACCGCCGCCAGGGCCCGAACCGACTGGCCTCCTTTTCCCTACCTCCTGGTTGGCTGTCCCCGGGAGGCCCCTTCTATGCTCGCACGGAGTTGTTGAAGAAAGAGGGGCGCTGGTCGTCGGAACCCTAGCTGGAGTTGGGGAAGAAGGTTGGGGCGTGGTCAGGGCGCGGGTAAGTGGGACACGGGCGTCGCGCGGGGCCCGGGCCGTGGGTGCGAGGGAGGGCGTCGGGAGCGCGCAAGTGGACAAGGGGCAGCGTGAGGTGGAAGACGGCGCGCGACCTGTCGCTTAATTGAGTTTGCGTTCCATAATAATACTATCAACCAGAAAAAACCTAGAAAGATTGGAGTATTCGAGCTGTGCGACCTGCCCCGTGCCAAACGCGCGGTGGACACGGCGACGCACGGCGCCAATCCGCACGCGACGTGGTGCGGTTGGAAAGCTATACGTAGTTACGTACGCCGGCCTCCTCTACACTGCAGTCTGCAGTGCCCGCCCCAGGCAGAAAACCACCTGCATTCAGCCTACCACGGCAGTTTCCCATGCATCCATCCATCCGCAACCAAACCATGCCGAAGCCCACGCGCGGCGTACGTACGCTACCGCATGTTGGCTCGCGGACAAGACCTGGTGCGTGCACGAGCCGGCTGGCGATCCGCACGTGAGAGACTGAGCGCCGCGAGCCCCGCCCCCCTGGCCCCTGCCCTGCCCCGCCACGTTCGGTGGCAATGGCATTCGTCCCCTTCTTGCTGGCTGCGACTGCTCGATCTGGCCTGGGTTTCCATCGCTGTGGCCTGTGGGCTGTGCGCGCCTGTGAGGCTGAGACTGTGCGTGAGGTGCCGCCGTGACGGGCAAGTGCATTATTGCGGATGGAAAGCTGCTCACCGCTCGCCAGCACTACAGTGCGGCAAGGTAAGGGCCGCACCACACTACTGTTCCACTGTCAGTGTCCCCCGTCCCGGCCTGACCTAACCTGACCTTACCTGGGCAACTGCCTCTGCGTGTGCATGTGGCGCCTGCGCCCGTCTCGTGGCACGTTAGTTGTGGGAGTGATGAATTGTGTCTCTGATGGTTCACCTGTTTTGAAGAGGGCGCTAATTTGGCTTCGGTGGCTTTTTCGACACGTATTTCCTGCTCAGCTGTGGCAGTGGCGAAAAGCTAGGCGATCAAAGCGTGTCTGGCTCGAGTTTTTAATCGAACATGCAAGTTTTTTTTGTTGATGGACATTTAACGCTTGTTTAGATGCCATCCAAATTCCAATATAATTTCACACTTTCTCTATCACATTTTTTGGGAAAGTTTTTTGGAATTAAACGTGGCCTCTAATGGTTCACCTGTTTTGAAGGGGGCGCTAATTAAGCTCAGCTCGGCACGTATTTCCTGCTCAGCTATGGCAGTGGCGAAAAGCTAGGCGATCGAAAGCATGTCCGGCTCCAGTAGTTACCTCGACCATGCAAGTTTTATTTGTTGATGGACAAGTATACTAATATACTACTACTGCATGCAGGACACTGAACATGACGGTGAGTCAGCCAGAGAGAGCAGAGAGCAGAGAGCAGCTACTAGCAAACACGCACGAATGAGAGCCCATCATCACGTGTGCTCACGGAGTGACACACGTGGAGAACCTAGGAATCCGGTATTTTCGCAGAGGGCAGGCAGAGCGCATATGCATAAACTACTGCCACGCGCAGGCAGCGACGAACTGACGATCCTGAGTGGCTACTAGACATGTTAATTGCCCGATTATTCGCGGCCCAGTGCTTTGACGGAGGCATGCATCGCCTGACACACGCCTTGGGATAACCGGCCCTGCAACGTGGCCGCGGGCGTACCAGCGCTACTAAACAAACCGGCGGCGAGGTCGGTGTGTTATGCGTAGAGATTCTTGCCTGCGGCCGTGGGTTAGTTTATTGTTAACCGCCATTTGTGTCATTGTGTGGTGGTACGCAGTGGTGTTCTTTTTGTTCTCAAGGGATCCGATGTTAAGATGTAGTAGGATTACTGTAGTGTATTGCAGGGATGTGCAGTGACCTGGTTTTTCTTTGGTTTGCGATGTCAGAGCTCGCGACAGTATTTCTCGTGTCAGGTGCGCTTAACTAACCTCTCGATCTACGGGGGTCGTACCAACAGGCTCGCACCAGATGTGGAGGCTGCATCTACGAGCATCAGTTCTCGTATTCTGCTGCGACTGACACTTGTACAGTGTCGTCAGGCCTGCCACCCCCCGTCAGCGACGAACACGCTTCTTTTCCATAGTGCTGAGACTAAAACAGTAATTAAAACAGAAACTAAGGCCCGGCCGTTGTTTAGTTTCTCCGAACTCTAAAAAAAAGTGCACTATGCAAAAAGAAGATTTTCCGTCACATCAAACTTGCGGTACATGCATGTAGTAAATGTAGACGAAATCAAAAACTAATTGCACAGTTTGCTTTAACTTTGCGAGACGAATCTTTTGAGCCTAATTAGTCAATGTTTAGACAATAATTCACAAATACAGACGAAATGCTACAATAGGGAATCTTCACTATGCAAAGTTTGTCTGCGCAAACTTTGCCCAACTAAACACCGCCCTGGTTTAGTTCCAAAAAATTTTCACCCCAAACTATCACATCGAATCTTGCGACACATACATGGAGTATTAAATATAGACGAAAAAAAACTAATTGCACAGGTTTGTTGAAAATCGCGAGACGATAAGTGCTACAGTACTAACATGCGATAATGATGGATTAATTACGCTTAATAAATTCGTCTCGCAGTTTTCAGGCGAGCTATGTAATTAGTTTTTTTATTAGTATCCGAAAACCCCTTCCGACATCCCCGAAACATCCGATGTGACATGCAAAAATTTTCATTTCGCAAACTAAAT